CTCTGGACACTGCATGGTGCCGGGGAGCACTGGCACCATGTGGGTGCGTGGGGCTGCAGGCGTGACCGCCCCCGAGCCTTCGCCGCATCTGTGTCAGCTCACCTGCCGTGCTCATGCCGGCTCTGAAGGTGTGGCACGGCCACTCGGAGCCGTGGCCATCTGCTGTGGTGTTAGCAGTCTAGGTTTGTTTGAAAAGTCAGGTGGCCTGTATGAGATGAATAAAGTATAGAAAGAGTTAAGAGTTGCAAAAGTTTAAAGAAAGGAATTGCAAATGTTCCCTGAGAATGGCCCCTCCCTGCCTGGCAGCTCTGCTCTTCTGTGACAGTCAGGAACACATATCTGTGTGTGGCTCATCCCTGTGATGGAGAAGAGACAGGGAGGGTGCAGTCATTTTTCTGAGTGTTTGGATAACAGTCCCTGTAGAACATGAACATATTACATCGTGGTCCTCAGACGGCCTTGAGATGCACTTGGGAACAACCCCTGATGCGTCCTGACGGCTTCTGTGTCACTCTGTGAGTAAGGAGATTGGAGGATCTCATGGTTCTGTGTAGCTCAGGTGTGAGTGAGGAGATCCTTGAAGAATACAGGCGAGCTTGTCAAGGTGTGAGAGCTTGCCGTTCAAATGCCTTTTGTAAATCAGTGGCTTGTTTTAAAAGAAGTGTTATATTATAAAATAATCCATGATTTTGGAGCGGTGAGTCACCAGGGGACTTAGTGTACAGACTGGGCATTTCCCCTGCATTTTATTAGGAGACTTTTCGAAGAGAGTGTTGCAGGGACTCCACAGCGTGCTGAGTTCACAAGGCCGCAGCAGGAAGGACTGTCAGGAGCAGAGCACAGAGCAGACCCTGCTCTGATGGTGTGATCAACAGGCACTTGGTGTGATCAACAGGCGCTTGTTGTTCCCAGAATCAAGGACAGGGAAGAGGAGAACAGTACCCATCATCATCAGCCTAGGTTCCCCAAACTTAGGCTCCTGCTCTGGGGTGGGAGGTTATGACCCCATCCAAGCACACCCCGTTTCGCGCTATGGGTGAGGAACCCCGAAGCCCGTCTCTCTCGGGGTTAATATACTAGCAAGCTACAGTGATTACATGTCCGACAGCATGTACAGAAAGGAGGGGGAGAACCCATCCACTGCCGTTGAGTCGATTCCGACTCTTAGCGACCCTATAGTACGGAGTAGAACTGCCCCATAGGGTTTCCAAGGAGCGGCCAGTGGGTGTTCACATTGCCAACCTTTTGGTTGGCAGCTGAGCACTTTAACCACTGCACCACCAGGGCTCCAGAGTTGGGGAGGGGGATAGGAAAAGCAGAAGGCCCCTTTGGGCAAGTGCAGTACCCATTGCCCTCTGCCCAGGGTGTGTGTGACCATCTCCTGATCGCTGTTTAGATCAGTGGCTTCAGTGAACAGTCCTTCCTCCTTCACCCCACTAAGACAGACAAAAACGTTCATGTTTTGGGTCTCTCAGAGGGCAGGCATCTTCCCCTAAGGCACACGCTTTGTGTCTGTTGGTAGCTGGTGCTACAGCTGGGTGCTGTTACGGCACACCTGTGCACCCAGCAGTATTTCCTACACAGATACTTGCCCCTAGATCCCATCATGAACATCTTGTCATGCTTGCTTTGTTACATGTCTCCACCATCTATCTACCCATCAGTCCTTCTAGTTTTTATTTTTTGAAGCATTGCATATACTCTGTAGCCATTACATATCTCAGCATGGGGATCATTAACTGGAGCTCATTGTTTTACATTCAGGTAAAACGTGCATACGATGAAATCCGCAATCTGGGTGTAGTTCCTCTGTTTTGACTACATGCACCCGTGTAACCACACCCCTCAGTCCGTGCAGCACCACCCTCTCCGAGGAGTCCCTCCTTGTCCTCCCAGTCATTCCCCACCCCCACCCCGTCAGGAGCCACTGGTCTGGATTTTTCCCTGCAAAGATGAAGAGCTGGTGCTTTTCCTGTGAGGTTTATACAGCGTAAGTGCTGATGGGTCGCTGTCATCCACCACAGGGTCTTGACACTGCACACAAGCAGAGAGTGGCTGAAGTGCTCAATGACCCTGAGAGTTCAGAGAAGCGGCGCAGCCGGGAGAGCCTCAGCACGGACGTGGTCAAGTACGAGAGTGGCCCCGACGGTGGCGAGGAAGTGAGTATGAGCGTAGAGTGGAACGGGGTAAGTACAGTCCACAGTCGGCGCGGGGCGGGTGAGGGCTCTGCCTCTCACCAGGGGCACACTGCACCTGTGAGGCTCCAGCCAGCACGAGCCTGGTCCTGTTGAAGAGGTCACTTCTCTCTTGTAGGAACCGATGGAAGCTGTTTGGCTTCACTTTGACCACTTAACATGCTGATTGAGTGTCCTGGTTATTGAAAGCATAATCCGTATCTGGCTCTATTTTAATACTCGGATTAGCGTGCCAAATAACTAACTTGCTTTTTTAACTTAACCCATCTCATTGCTAACTTCAGTACTCCTAATTTCGCTGACCAGACTGCTGTAGGTTTTGTTAGAATTAGTTAAAATGCCTTCAAGGGGAATGATGTTTAAACTAGAGTGTTTTTTAAAATAGCTTAAGAGCAGAAATGTTAGGTGGCAGCTTTTCTTTAGGTCCCACCTGTCCTGGAGATCATACGTCCCTGAGAGTGGGGTCCAGTGACCATCGCTCTTCCCAGTCACCTGCTGCGGCTTACCAGCCTGGACACATGGCTGTGTTTGCAGCATGTCAGACCTTCTGAGGGCTGGCAGGCCCTCCTTCTGCTCTCGCCGTTTGGCCTCTGGAGAGCATTTGGCCTCTGCACGTCTCTTTCTAGTGTGTTTTTGTAACACACGGATAATTTTTAGTGCACATAAGTCTGGTGCCTTTGGAGTTTGCTTTATCAGAGAGGGTAGGACGCAGGCTTAGTTTGGGTGCAGCCAGGTGCACTGCCTATGTTTTCCAAGTGGCAGGACTTGAGATTGATTGATTGTAACTGTGCGGATGTCTTGCTAGATAGTAGTTGGGGGCTTTCTTATAATCTAACTACCTTACTGTTTGAACCTATTTATTCCTTAGGATTTTTTATAGCTGTAGCAGATTGGTGAGAATTAGCATTCTAAATAAACATTTTGTAAAAAAATGTTAATGGCCAAAACTTCTGGGAGAAGCTTCTTTTGACTGTCTTATCTGGCAGCGTCCTTGGCTCTGGTTTTCTCTGTGCCAAGACAACCAATCAGCATCTGTTCTGACCATTAGCCCTGTTGGGCAGTAGTCACAGTAAAGCGATGGTTTAGCTCTTCCTGTTGGCCCATCTTAGAACTGTGTACTGTACTCGTCCCTGGGCTGCTGTCTGCCGCATGCTTGGTTCTAGGGGCAAGTCCTTCTCCAGCCGCTCGAGGCAGCCTGCAGATTGTGACTCTTGAGGGCGTTCTGCAGGAACCTTCTTGAGACAGTATTTCTAGGTCAGCATTTATATGAAACCACTCAACAATAAAATTGTTGACAACCCAGAGTTCTGTCACTGCCCTAGAGACTGGGAATCAGGGTTAAGGAGACCTGCTGTTATTGTGCTGTTGGGCAGACTCCGCTGCTCGGTGCATGGATATCTGACTTTGCGGTGGGGTTCGGTGGGAGGATTCCATCAGCCCTCTGGGCTGGGTTACACCACAGTGGGTGGAAGCAGCCGTCCTCTGAGTGCAGGCTTGTCTCTTCTTCCATTTCCTGTTGATGTACTACTCTAGGACACTCATTACTCTGTTACACTCACACTGTTACACTCATTACTCTAGGGCACTTACACTGTAAGATACTTACTACTCTGAGACATTGACTACTCTACTACACTCATACTCTAGGACACTCACTATTCTATTACACTCATTACTCTAGGACACTTATTACTCTGTTGCACTCATTACTCTATAACACTCATGCTCTAGCATAGTCATTACTCTGTTGTACTCATTACTCTATTACACATACTCTAGGATAGTCATTACTCTAGGACAGTCATTACTCTATTACACTCATTACTGGAGGACACTCATGCTATAGGATACTCATTACTCTGTTACACTCATTACTCTAGGACACTCACACTCTAGGGCGCTCATTACTTTAGGGCACTGATACTTTAGGATACTCATTACTCTATTACACTCGTTACTCTATTATACTCTAGAATAGTCATTACTCTGTTATACTCATTACTCCAGGACACTCATTACTCTAGGACACTTATAGTCTAGGACACTCATTACTTTAGGGCACTGATACTTTAGGATACTCACTCTATTACACTCATTGTTCTAGGGCACTCGTACTCTAAGATACTCATTACTACACTCATTGCTCTAGGACACTCACGACTCTGTTACACTCATACACTGTGATTTTGGTGTTATCATATCCCCTTCAGAATTATTTTCTTTAGGAACTGACATGATGTTTTTCTTTTCAGAGCCAATGTGCCTGACTCTGAGACACTGAGTGAGTGGCTGTACATCTTCGATGAAATCTATTCCAAGTTGATTGACTGACTTATAGATTATAAATCCTAGGTCGTCTAGCCCAGTGGTCTCTAACTTCCTTTTGAGCAGTAGAAGGGACCCTTTCTTCACATGGAGTCTTGCCTACAGCGGGTACACGGGGACCTGCCTGGGTAAACAGGGAAGGCGGCTGAGGGGCTCTCTCATTACTGGTCACGAGGCATCCTCGCAGACGCAGGCCACCCTCCCCTCTGCAGGGAGGTGCTGGCTCTCGGACTCCTTTCCTAGATGCTCTGAGGTTCTGAGAAGGTAGTGCTAAGCTCTGCCAGCATTCAGTTTGACTTTAATTTCAGATGCACTTTCATTATTTTAAAAAGGCAGTGAAGGCAGTATGCACACTTAGGTGCGTTTCTGAACCACCTTTATTGAGGTGTGAGTACCTGTACTAGACGAGCCCATTTTCACTGTCCTGTGTGATGTGGGTGTTGGTGCAGTACACCCAGCGCAGTCATGCGTCCTCCAGAGACCTCAGGTCCCCGTGCCTGAGGTTTTCCCGAGATTGTAAGGCCAGCAGTTTAAAACCGTCATCCTTTGCCGCCCCTTACTTGTGTGCACCCCGGTGTTCTCGGTCCCGTACGGTCGAGATCAAATGCAGGAACCAGCTGGGGGTTGCGGAGGACAACATCTGCACCAGAGCCTCGGCCTCCCACGTGGGCTTCGCAGAGGCAGCGCCATGATGTCGGCGCTCGACTTTATTCTAGTAATGGCTCGTCATACGTTGCTTTTTTTACTAATAATTTATTTTGTTGTGAATATACACAGACAAACACATACCAGTTCAGCAGTTTTACAGTACAACTCAGTGACACTGATTACATTTTTCCAGTTGTGCAACCATTCTCACCCTCCTTTTCTGAGTTGTTCCTCCCCAGTTAACAAATTCACTGCCCCCTGCGGTTCCTGTCTAATCTTTCAAGTTGCTGTTGTCATTTTGGTCCCATATAGATAGACCTTAAAAGAGCATAATGCTCAAGGCAGACATTTTTTACTAGTTAAGCTAAGCTGTTGTTTGACTTTAAGCAGACTTCAGGGCATATGTTTGGTTTCAGGTTTAAAGATCATCTCAGGGCAATAGTTTCGGGGTTCATCCAGCCTCCATGGCTCCAGGAAGTCTGGAGTCCGTGAGAGTTTGAAATTCTGGTCCATATTCTCCCCCTGTTGACCAGGATTCCTCTGTGGAATCTTTGATCAAAATGTTGAGTAATGGTGGCCGGGAGCCATCTACTTCTTCTGGTCTCGTGGTGGCGGTCAGCCACACATTCCATAACCTCCTTCTGTTCCTGACTCTCCTTCTCTCTCTCTTGCTCCAGGTGAATAGAGAGCAATTACTGTGCCTTGGATGGCTGCTTGCAAGCTTTTAAGACCTTGCCATCCATTCCTATGAGAACATGCCATTTTGATTTTATTTTGAGATTCTGCATGTGGTTTCTGCCTTTTAAAAGAGGGCTTCAGTGCTTTGAACAAGTTTGAAAGCCGCCACATTAGGGAGAAGCACTGTTTGCTCTGTTAGACACCTCAACTCCAGCAGGGAGGACGGCAGGGAGAGGCACGGGGGCCGTGGATGAAGTGACGATCCCCATATACAAGGTGGCAGGCCTCATGTCTCCCAGGGTTCAGAAATAACATTTAACGTAAGGGTAGCGTGGTCAGAGCTAAGGCTCACTAGGTTACAGTAACTGGTCCCCGTGGATGCCGGCGGTCTGTACCAGCCAGAGCTGAGCACTGCGCTGTCACAGTGCTCCGAGGGCAAGGCTGCCGGAGAGTAGTGATTAATCCGGTGTGTTTTGGATCTGATTCTTGACATGCTAGGTAATTTGTTTAGGGGAGTGCGATTCTATTAAATATGTGTCGTAAAGATTATGACTAAGCCACCTGAAACTGTAGCTTCCTTAGCATCATTTTTGAATAATGAGCACAGGTCTTCATCAGGCACTGTAAAGATGTTGCTTATGGACCGACTCCTCAGACCTCAGGTGCTGTGTGCAGATTAGTCATTCTCTGGGTAAAGTTGGATCCCTTAGCCTCTGTGCACACGGCTTCGCGTCAGATGTGTGATAGGCTGCGTCAGTCACCGCCTCTGGATCCCCACGGAGACCATACAGGAGGCTCTCTGGGTGGTGGTGGCATCTGGGAATCTTATTTCCTGCTCTCCTGCTGGAGGCGTAATTTAAAATTCCGTATGGTAAATTGGAGATGAAGCGTGAGCTCTGGAAACCAGATTCCTGCCCTGCGGCCCTTTCTCCACTCCCCAGTTCTCTGCTGGACCCCTTCGCAGGGAGCCCCCCATGCTTCTCATCCCGCTCCCCATTAACATTTGAGAAGGTTTTTAAGACACTAACCTATTACCCAGGATTATTGGGCAATGGGATATACTGGTTAGACATAGATTTTTATTCTTAAAAAATTGCACTAGGATGACAGCTAGAATATACCAGAAAGAAAATAGTCATCTCAAATCCACAGATAATAGCAACCGCTGTACATTTTTTAGCCAATACACTGTACTGTTCATTTCTGTTCAGAACCCACTTTTTGGATGTGACTGTCTTTCACATCAGCATGAAGAGGGAGACTGTTTTCTGAGGTGGGGGACACACAGAAATCTCCCAGCCCTTCAGCCCACGCTGAATGGAAATGGGCTGGGTGGGTGGGGACTCTGAACCCAGGTCTGCGGGGCCACGCTGCCCATCCCGGCGGCCTGTCACTCCTGGGCTGAGTGTGTGTGTGTGTATGAGATCTCACGACTCCTGAGTGAAACTGGTCATAAGCTTCTGCCGAGGCTCTCCCACTGGGTGTTACACGTCCCCTGCGGTGGTAGCACTAAGCCTCGCCATGAACAGCAGGGGTCGTACTACCTGTGGAATTAATGTGGTAGAATTCTATTTCTGAAGAGCAGCAAGAGCTTACTTATGCTTTCTTGTCCTCCAACATCCTCGGGGAGTTGGTAACGAGTGTTATTTTTCCATTTAAAGATGAGAAACGTGAAGCTCGGGCTGGTTAAATGACCCGCATCCCGTGGTGAGTGAGACTGGCGGGCACAGGGCCAGCGCCTGCTGCTCCTCCGTCCGGCCGCCTCTGGAAGCCCGTCTCCTGTCCTTAATGTCATTCCCGCTGTCGACTGCATGTGTCACATGTGCTGGAGACTTTTAAAGCTGGTGCTTCCTTTAAGTTTCTGAAACGTCTGAAGCATTAGTGCTGTTCAGAGAATGAAGCCCTGCCTGTTGGGCTGCATTTTCTCATTCCGGAGAAGCGGGCTCCCATGGGAGTTAACACTCCCTTGGGCGTGCTCTGCCTGTGGGCAGCCTGGGTTTGGTCTGCTCCCTGTGGAGGGTTCCGTTGCAGGCGCTCCTGTGCACAGTCACGCGAAAAAAAGCCTCTCGAAGTATCAAGGAGTGCTGAATTGTATTTTGTTGGCTGTTAGGAACAGACTAGATTACATGAGATGCAGCAGAAGGTCCAGTACCTGTTTTACACTCAGCTGATAGAAGCAGGAGAAGGTAACCCCAAATACTCAAGCAGTGAAAGATGCTGCTGAGCCTTCGTGACCTAGAAATACTGTGAAGCCGGCGGTGCGCAGGGGGAAGCGGGCACCCCTTCTTCTCTCGGGACAGTCTCATTGGACTCTCTCTCGTTTCTGTCTGACAGGCCTAGCTGCCTTGGGGTCTTACGCTGTCTCCTGCATGACGGGCGTCACCGCCTGCAACTTCCCTCCTCTCCTCCCCGTGCTGACTGCTGTGCTTAGCAACCTAGGATTCTGTCAGAGCTCCACTCTGCGACCGGCCGCCCCTCTCGGCGCTGCTCTCTCTCTCGAGGGTCCTTACTTCTGTATACTTGTAGCTTTGCCAGAAATGTACTCGGTAATGTACACTGCTGTATTAATAAACACCACTTACGTGGCCCACAGCGTTCACATGAAGAGCGATTAGCTGTGCACTTGGGTCCGTGGTCGTTAAGTCTCTGCGAGGTGTTCACACTGGCACGGTGGTGGCCTGTGGCGTGCCGGCTGTGGGAGCCGGCGTGTGCCGCACGGCCCCCCCGTGCGCAGAGACCACGGCCCCACCTAGGACCCTCTGACGTAGCCTGTATGGTCTAGTCTTTGTGTGCAAGTTTAGCAATTCTGCTTTTCTCTACTAATCTCTGAGTGTTCAGTGATATGTGATTTGTGTCTTTCTAACTTCTAATAAACTCACTCCAACTGACTGGTGTCTTGGTGTCTGTGTGCCTCACAGGACCCCTCGCTCCTTCCACGCACCTTTTCGTAGCTTCTAGAAGCAGCGGGTGGTTATGGGTGAGCTTACCGAGTGACCCATCCTGGGAATAAAGGTTGCTGTGTGCGTATTTCCTTCCCTGTGTTTTTGCTCTTTCACATCCAGATACTTCATGTTTTATGTCTGAGTCAGTTACATGAAAGCTGGGCCACTCTTTCAGCTTCTTAGAAGGGGTTCGAGGGGTTTGGGTTACTTGTTTAGACTGAGCATTATTTACTTTTCTAACCAAATTTAGAGTCGACATTTAATAAAAGCATTCTGAGAAAACAGTACATATAAGAATTGCATTTCAGTGACACTGTTCAGAGAAAGTTGGCTCTGTCACGGCTGAGCGTTTCGGGTCCTGTGCTGTCTCCTGGACCAGGTGCCCACATGTTTGCTAAACTTGGAATTTGATTTTGATAATTCCTAGAAGCTGCCTTCATTTTCTTGAGACTTTTTTGTATATTGCCTCTTGTCTCAAAACAGCAATATATTCACTTGTTCTCTGGAGATGTTACACTTTTGTTTGAAAAAGCTTCTTCACGTTCAGAAGTTTGCATGATCATTGGTTATCCTTAATGAAATTGTAATGGGCTGATTTCCGTTTACCGCGTATCCACGCTCACGGGCAGCTGGTGATGCCTGCAGGAACCGTGTCACCATCGGCTTACCGATGCGGGGTGGCCTGCACAGTGCTTGCTGCCTCTGGGGCCGCGAGGATGGGCCATGGCACGTCACACCTGTTCACGTCTCTTTCAGGACGGCACTGGATCTTTAAAACGCAGTGGTTCCTTTAGCAAGCTCCGGGCCTCCATTAGACGCAGCAGCGAGAAGCTGGTTAGGAAGCTGAAGGGAGGAAGCTCACGGGAGAGTGAGCCCAAGAACCCTGGGTAACTATCTCTTCTAGCCCTGCGATCCTCGTCTCCACCCCCTCTCCCCAGACATGTCTGCAGGCCCCCCCGCCTCCCCAGACGTGTCTGCAGGCCCCCCGTCTCCCCGGACGTGTCTGCAGGCCCCCCCGTCTCCCCAGACGTGTCTGCAGGCCCCCCCCATCTGCTCACCCCCAGGGTATAGACGGCACAGCCCAGCTCACCCCCGGGGTGTAGACAGCATAGCCCAGCTCACCCCCGGGGTGTAGACAGCATAGCCCAGCTCACCCCCGGGGTATAGACAGCACAGCACAGCCCAGCCCCCCATGAGAGTGTAGACAGTACAGCCCAGCTCGTCCCCAGGGTGTAGACCGCACTGGGCAGCTCAGGAGTTGCAGTGGAGGCCTTTCCCAGGACAGGCTGAGAAATATGGGAAACTTCCTGTTCAGAGGCTAAAAGAGCTGAGCCCTCTAAGAGGAATTGACGCACCTCTCTGATTTTGTTACATGTGCAAAGAAAGCCTTAGTAATGAACAGTGGGAATTTAATATTCAGACATTGAACATACTAAATTTGTTTAGATACACAGTTAAGGAACCCTAGTGGCTCTGTGGTTAAGCACTCGGCTTTTAACTGAAAGGTCAGTGTTGTGAACCCACCAGTGGTTCCAAAGGAGGAAGACCTGCCGATCTGCTCCTGTAAAGATTACAGCCTAGAAAGCCCTTTCGGGCAGTTCTGCTTTGTCACATGGGGTCGCTATGAGTCCAAATTGACTCAACAGCAAAGTACACATTATTTTTTAAATCAGTATTAGTTTAAATCCTTTAAAATTAGTTTTATCTTTTAAAATCGAAAGTTAGCTACCACTGAATTAAGTCTCATACAGGTGTAACTATAGGGGAAAACAGTTTTCAATAGGAGAAAGATCATATTCTCAAGACTTTATTAGGAGAACGTTCTTTAGAAGATTTTGAAAAGCTTAGGTTTTCCATCTGATTAAAAAAAAAGTTTCGGTCATGGGTCTGAGTCTTTGGAGCAATAAAATTTAAGTTATCAAAGGAATTTGGTTCTTAAAATATCCTTTATTTTCTGTAAAGCTTGTCGAGGATGGGGCTGTGTCACATGGCTAACAAATTGCCCCACTGGGTTATTTCTGGTGTAAATGACTTCCTGTTTCTGGATACATTTCTTATGGAATCACTGCTTTTCTCAGCTGTTCTGTGTAACTAACTTCCTGAATGGTACCTACTTTCTAAAGACTAATTCTTAGTAAAGCTGTTCTCACCGGTTCCTGGTTCAGCTCTGCAGGTAAGAATTCTCATGTCTCAGGCCTGTGAGACCTAGTCCCTTGGATGACAGAGTGGTAATATTAAAGTTACATGCCCTTTTGGTTCTGTCATTTGCTGTTTTGCTTTTTCCTCGAATTGTCACTGGGACCTAGCACTGAGACCTCTCGTGTTACATCTTGCTCTCTCCGGAGGCCGGCCACGGGGTGCGGTGGGGGGAGCAGAGGGGGACCGTGTCTGCTTTTTAGCGCTCTGGACTCTGTTCTGTCAGCCCTGTGTCCCTCTGGAAAGTGCTCTCTGCTCCTGGGTGAAGCTGTGGTTGCTCTTGGAAGGCGTTCAGCCCTGAGGCAGGAGGAGCAGCTTGGCTTTTAAGAACCGTCGCCCCTCTCCTTCCATAAGCTTACCGAGCTCCGGGAGTGTCTGGTGCTGGAGGGGGTCTGGCCTCTCGAAATGGTGGGATTTGTCAGCACGCTGCCCACCTGCCCTCAAGGTAACCCCAGTGCCCGAGAAGACAAGTGGATTATCTTTGAAATAGAGTGCTCCTGTTTTAAAATACAAATTTCCAGAACTGGAGTGCTAGATTGCTGTGTGCCTCTGTAAATTCTGGAGATTGAGCTTTTCCCTGACGGCATTGTGAGGAGGCAGCTGCGATTGCACCACCGCTTAGCTTCCCTCGCTTTGAGGTGTGCCGAGTGACCGGCTTGTCCTCCGTCCCGCTCTGGGCAGTACTGATGGCACAGGGGGCGCACCCTGGCTAGTTGAGGTTCTGGGTGTTCTGAAGCTTTTTAAGTGCAAAGCTAATTCTGGCACCAAGTTCATAACACGGGGCGTACTTCCCATGTGAGGGAACTTGGGTTTTCTTTTCTTTTACGTTTCCTTTCTGTCTTTGCCATGATTTAAAAAAGAAGAAGAAAAAAGGAACAGTGTGTGAGCACTCCCCACTGAGATGACAGTGAAGGTTCATGGAGCGGGGGCCCTGGGCTAGCCCCCCCAGTGTAAAAAAACGGGTGCTTGCACGCCTGACAGGCACACTTGCACGCCCCGACTGATTCACACACCCCGACGGGCATGCTTGTGTGTCCCGACCGACTCATATACCCCAACAGACACGCACGCCCCGACTGATTCACACAGCCTGACAGGCACACTCGTGTACCCCGACCAGCACACCCCAACTGATTCACACACCCCGGCAGGCACACACACCC